AAAAACTACCATGGATTGGGGTCGGATTGTTCCTTGGAGCCCTCAACATTCTGCCAGTGTAAGCCAAATACCTACCAACGCTGCCCCCGACCCGTGGATTTTGAGCACCTCCCCACTGACTTGAGGCCGATGGATAGTGGTAGAGCGTACGGTGTCTTCAACGTAAAATGGATGTTTCTCTCGTTGGTTATTCTCTTTGAGATCGGAAGTGCAATCTGCGGCGCCGCACCTATCATGGACGCATTTATCATCGGACGAGTTATCCAAGGAATCGGCGCATGCGGATGCTACTCAGGCGCTATAACGTATATTTCTATGACCACTACCATGCGCGAGCGACCTCTTTATCTCTCCGGTATTGTCGCTACCTGGTGCACCGGCTGTGTTGTAGGGCCGGTTATAGGTGGCGCATTTGCCCAAAGTAGCGCCACCTGGCGATGGGCATTTTATATAAACTTAGTCGTCGCGGCCGTCACTGCACCGGGCTTGATTTTCTGTCTACCTAACATCGACCCCGCGAAGGACCTAACGTTTACGCAGAAACTCCGCACCCAGGATTGGATAGCCATAGTCATATTTCTAGGAGGCTCCGCGTGTCTGTCTATGGCCCTTACCTTTGGGGGTGTTGTATACGCCTTTAATAGCGGCTCTGAGATCGCGCTCTGGACTCTATCAGGAGTGCTACTTATCTGTTTTATCCTAGTCACAATCTATCACCCTATGGTACCAATCCGAGATAGATTATATCCTCTTCACTTGATGAAACGCCTAGAGCTCGGTATTCTGCAATATGAAATGTTCGCAGCTGCTGGCGCTTTGACAGCAACCCTTTATTATACCCCTTTACTGTTTCAATTTACCAGAAATGACGGCCCCTTGATGGCGGGCGTTCGTCTCCTACCATTTCTCGGTGGCATGGTTTTCTTCTCGATTCTAAATGGCTTTTTAATGCCTAGGTTCGGTTATCATATGCCTTGGTACGTTTTAGGCACTGCTTTGATGTTGATCGGCTCTTCACTCATGGGTAAGTTAACTCCCAATAACAAATACCCTTTCATATGTCATTGGCTAAACTTAGATAGTTACCGTAAATGTGTCGACTTCGGAAGCCCATATATACGGTTATACTCTACTTCTTGGAGGGGGATGCGGTGCTTATTTTACAGCGGGGTTTTCAGTAGTCCAGTCTCTCGTTCCAGTCGCCGAACTTAGCAATGCCATAAGTTTCATGGCTGTTGGTATGCTTCATCCTCTAAGAGATCATCCGCTACATATCCTAACTAATAGGTTGCCATAGGACAACAATTCGGCCAAATTATACTTCTTGGCCTAAGCGGTTCCGTGTTCCAAAACATCGCCATAAAATTAATCCAAGACGTTCTCCCGGATATTTCATCCCAAGACGCTATAGAATTAACGACGGGAACGAGCAGCTCTATTTTTGAATCGCTTGATAATCATCAGCAGTCGTTGGTTATAGACCAGCTAACTCTCGCGATCCGCGACGTGTTTATAATAATAGTTGGTATTAGTGGCCTTGGATTTATTGCGTCTATCTTTCTGAGTGTAAGTAATTGACAATCATATCGGTGCTCACATTTACTGATAACTATATCTTGCAGCGTCGTAAAATGTATTAGAGGTACTCGTAGCGAGTTTTGATGACATAAATTCACCTAAGGCATAGAGAAGTCCATATAAGTAAGTAGATGAGATACTTGGGGTACTAAAAAGGGGGGATTGAAGAATATGGGAGATACACAATATAGAAATAGTAATATACCCTACGGAACGAGTCCGATATAATCCATGGAGTGATGACTTACCTGTTAGCACATTATACTGTTCTGTCATATATATCTCAAACTTTACTGTCTCTTCGCCCCTTAGCGTATTTAACATATCCCTTCATAAAGTATCCCACGTCGGCGAGTGGAGCCTTGAATTAGGGTATGATACTATTACTAGGTATACTGTAGAATTACCTACATAGGCTAGAATAATTCCCAGCCGTACAGGCATTTCAGACATTTGTAATGATAACTAACTACTAACACCACCAAGGCATGGGTCTAAGCTATAAACGTTACGCTCAAGTGAATAACAAGATTTGATTGGTTCGTGCCGCTCTGAAAGAAGGTGGGTAGTTTCTAAGCATTCCTTGCTTATCAATCAAGATGTCTAAGACGTAAGTTAAGAGGTATCATAACTAAAAAGACCACGGGTTCCTCATAAGTTCTTTACGAATGTCAGGCACGTGAAATTTCAGCATCTCATAAAACTCATATTCCAATAACCGGCCGCAATGTCTCCTATCCGAACCGCAATTATCGGGCTTTCGAGTTCTTCCTCGAGTAGCTGGGCTGGCCATGCTCATCTTCCATACCTGCTCAGTCCTGAAGGCCAGAAGAAGTTTAAAATTATCGCATTATGCAACTCTAGCGTAGATGCCGCGAAGCGCGCCATTGACGCCTTCAAGTTGTCACCTGAAACGCGGGCATACGGGGATCCAGATAGTCTTGCCGCAGACCCAGATGTTCAACTCGTCGTATGTGCGACGCGTGTGGACAAGCACTATGAGACAATTCTCCCAAGTGTACACGAGGGCAAAGATGTATTCGTGGAGTGGCCACTAGCTCAGAACGCGTCGCTCGCGGCTGAGCTCGCGGCCCTTGCACGACAAAAAGGGGGTAGGACCGTTGTAGGACTCCAAGGTTGGCACGCACCAGCAGTCATGAAAATGAAAGACTTAATAAGAAGCGGACGTGTCGGGAAAGTATTAAGCAGTGAGGTTCGTGCAGCTGGAGGTTCGATCGATAGAATTTCTCTGCCGACTAGCTTGGAGTACTTCACGGATCGGAAAATTGGTGGAAATCCCTTCACAATCGGATTCGGTCACTGTAAGTTCTGAGAAAACCCAACAAGTAAACCCGACGAACATATCCACTCATTTATTATCGCAGTATTCGACTTCATTCAGTTTGTACTCGGAGATATCCGGGTTTTACACTCCCACTTACAACTGCAACGACCGGAGGTCAAAATCTGGGACCGATCAAGTGGACAGGTCGTAAAAACAGTTCAATCAGACGTCCCCGATCTATTTCTCGTGACCGGGTCGTTGGAGGCTTCAGAATACACTACTTTGGGGGCGACCGTTCACTTACGCTTTCGTCGGGGGCAGGCTTTTAAGGGAGAGGATCCGTTTGTGTGGTCAGTAAATGGAGAAAAGGGGGAGATACGCCTTAGCGCTTCCGGTGGACCAGGGATCTCAGCAGCTGCCCATGGACAACCGCTGACTATCGACATTCACGACTTCGATACAGATCGAATAGATAACGTGGGGTGGAATTGGCAAGGAAGAGAAGAGCTTGATATCTCAGCGAGGATGGTTGGTGCTCTTTACGAAGCATTTGCCTCTGGCGATACGACAATGTATCCGGCATTCGACCACGCCTCAAAACGCCACAAGCAACTTGAAGAGATATTAGCACAGTTCTCTGCCGCATGAGATCGCAATAGCACCTTAAAAGAACGGTTACCAGTCCAGTTTATTATATAACCCGAAGCATTAGACAATTCTACCAAAGCCAAGATTTACGTAAAATATAAAGGTTACGATATGACTCCATGGGTTTGTAGATAATAACCTACCTACCTATGCAACCCATTCGCAATATGAAAAGTTTTGATAGCATCTTATACTCACAAATATAACCCAAGATAGAAACTACAGAAAAAGGCACTGGTATATACGGTTGAAAGATTATGGAAAGGCATACCTATATTGCGACGCCTATAAAAAAAATATAACCTTTCCGAAGATAACCGAAATTACCAAGGGCAGATTCATCAGGTAAGTATAGTAAAGCACGTATTAGATGTTTTATTCGTGATACTAGCTTTGGTATCCCTTCAGACCAAGGTACCCATTCATCGTAGAACGTGTAGACACGAACGAGGATTCCAGAGACACTCTCGAGTATCGCGGTACCCGAATCTCTCGACGAATTCCAGCATCCACCTACCTTCGTAACGAGAGACAGTATCCGACCTCTAGCAATACGAAGAACTCTACTCAAAAGGAAATATCTAGAACACATCCTGCGAGTGATCGACATATGATACGGTCATGTGGTCAATACGAAGAACCGTATATATCAACTATGAATGGCTTCGCAAGAACGGATGTTACCCAAGGATTAAGGAGGTATCGAGACATGATACACTTAGGGTATATGCTTTATTGGAACCACGAGGTAGCTGCGCATGAATAGTCTCATCCAATTTCCTTTCTTCTTTTGTCCGTGATGGTCCACGCCTATAACAAAAAAAAGCCTGTCATTTACGTCCGTACTTATCCATAAGGTGAATATACATGGATGCTATATTAAATAAACTCTACGTCGGGATATGATACGACGATAGAGTATAATCCCGAATAAGAGCATTCCCGGAGGATATCGAGATCACAGATACCGTCTTTGGTCGGAGAAGGGTTGGAGATGCGAGGGCGGCAGTCATTTCCTGGCTGACGATGAGTTTGCCTCCCTTTAGAATATTCTGAGGATTGCCTTAGAATCCAAGGAGGGCTACGACGATTCCAGGATTATGGATATGAAAAATTAGCAAAAAGCAGGTACACGAAGTCGGAGTATTTAATTACCTATCTATCGAATGTCAGGAAAATTGTTTCTAACAGATCCTTACCAAATATCCACACTCTAACTACCAGGGCCAAGTATACTCGAGTGGTAACCCCTGGGGATTCATGAATACCACCATCATTACTACCTACCTATGTACCTACCTAGGCACCAGCTCACAGTAATAGTTCCACATGGCAATACTCCCAATTCACAAGAAAAAAACATCTACTTCCTTCGGCATACGAATATTAGGATTTTATAGATAAATAAAAAATTGCAGAGTTTCTTACTAATGATCTTTTATGGTAAGATTAAGATTGAAGGAATGGAATGAGACAAAAAAGAATATGATGCGGTGAGTGCGGATCGAACGCACGACCTTCAGATATTTAGATTGAAGTGGACTTCAGTCTGACGCTCTCCCAACTGAGCTATCCCCGCTTTAGTAAGGTAGCTATTCCCATTTCCTGGGTGGTGTTAAGCTATCCCCGCTGTATGAGTCTAACGGCTTGCTAAAATTGGCTATAGACCCTAGGCTATTAAAGATGTGATAAATATCCCAATTTGAACTTGGAATGCCTTGGGTAGGTAACAAATGAATATTATGATAATAATTACTATTCGAGACTAATACCGTGCGTAAGTTGAGCAAGGCTCAAGGACTTTACGGGAAATATTACGATGTCTCTTTACTGGGACTTGTTTTACGATAAAGACCTCATATGCTGATCTCTAGAGAGATTATACCTAGCTACCCACGTAGAGTGACCTGTCAAAGGTCTTTCCACCATAAAAGCTATACATAAACCTGGACAGGTAGGTAGGTAGGTAGCTAGATATGTTGTTTGGAATCTCATATTCACAGCCTGTCTTAACCCTATACCTGGATGTCGAGGGACGAGTATCCTATTTTTGCTAGCCATCCGTCGGTTATAGGAGGTTTAATGAAAAGAAGCCTAGAAACGGACCATACTGTATACCCGACCGTTAGATCTAAAATTTAACATGTGGTATTTCCGCCGTAGAGGCTTTTTAGGCTTGCATATTGAGAACATTGATAGCTGTATTGCGAAGTGCTCATTCCGATTTTGACTGTACCTGTGAACGAACCTAGAAAGGCAATGACTATTAGCCCAGAATGGAAAATAAACAAACTAAGGGGTAGCACAATTTGCGCAAATGGAATTAACCTCAATAGAGCCATCAATTTGCTTCGTAAGAGTACGTCATAAGGACTTGGTGGAAGTTGAATAAAAGGTTCATGAGGTAGGTATTAAGCGAAATTCTAAAATTCTAAAATTCTAAATTAACAAAACTTGCAGTGGAATAGGTTTGCTTGATAAAGCAAAAATCATAGAAAATTTTCATAACCGAATATGGCCGATTAGAGTTGGCCAATTATCGAAGCGGGGATAGCTCAGTTGGGAGAGCGTCAGACTGAAGTCCACTTCATTCTAATATCTGAAGGTCGTGCGTTCGATCCGCACTCACCGCATTATTTTTATTTTTCGATTATACCTTGATTTCTTCCCCTCTTTTTCTTTTTTTCCCATCCGCAATTCTTACAAATCGATCCAAAAGCTCCCAGAATGACATCCAATGGATAGGTGATGTATCTATCATGTATAGAATAGATAGCATCGCTTTTTTTCAATTAATTCCTTTTATTTTTTATCGCAGAGAAATTGAGGGTTTAACTCAAGAACAGTTTAGCAAGACATACATAATCTATACGTCAAGGATGTAGGTAGGTTGAGTTAAGTACCTAGGTACCTTGGCGCGAAAAGATCAGCCTCGCAGTGAAGCAGCATACCTGTGAAATAAGCAAACGAACCAATCAGAACTCCCTAGTTCATAATTTTCAGCTTTACCATCGTTCGCAGTGGCTCGTCCCGTTGGTTTAAGCCACGAATCACCCCTCACTGCTCAGTGCCCACTGCACACCGACCCACTACCCTATGTAATTTTCGATACCCCACCGAACTTTGAAATACATAACTCGTAACTTTCTTAACTTGGGCGCATTTTGTCGCAATATTTTGTACCGCCAACATATAACAATTTCATCCAGCAATTTCCAGCCTCACCCGACACACCCTTTGTTCCTAACGTTGTTGGCCCCACGATATTCATTACTTACCTACACTTCGTGGCATTCCGACCTAATTTTCCTTCTACCTTGTAATCTCTTTTACGAGGAACCGGTCGTGATATTCCCCCACCATGGCTACCAAGCTCACTCGGTACGTAAATATGCGACTCGATGCAAATTCGATCCTGTTTTGTACCATCCCATACTAACTATATGGTCTTAGTATTGCCATCGTGAACGATGACAAGGTATGTCTACTCTGCTAATGCTTGACCCTTTTATATCTGATGGCGTCGGGATTGAGCTAATATGTAAAATATCGAATAGTGCAAGCCCAAGGTAAATCAACTCGAGACTCGAATCTTGGGATATTATAATGATGCTTACTTTCTATAGAAATGTCGACAGGAGTGCAAAAGGTCTTGCCCGGTATATACTCTCCCATTTCCTTTTCTCCTTTCCTCCAGAAAATTGTAATAAAATGCCAGGAGTGGTACCTAAGCATTGGTAAATCGGTAACTGATCGTATACTTGGCAGGTCGTTCGTAGTGGAAAGCTTTGTATCGAAGTCAGCCCCGACTCCAAGATAGCTTTCATCTCCGAAAGTCTTTGCATTGGTTGTGGTATCTGCCCCAAGAAGTGCCCCTTTGACGCTATCACGATTATCAACCTGCCCACCAACCTCGAAACCCAGGTTACCCATCGATACTCTGCAAACAGCTTCAAGCTTCATCGACTACCGACACCGCGGCCTGGTCAGGTCTTGGGTCTTGTTGGAACCAACGGTATTGGAAAGAGCACAGCATTGAAGATTCTCAGTGGCAAGCTCAAGCCTAACCTGGGCAGATATGAGAACCCTCCGGATTGGGAGGATGTCATCAAGTATTTTAGAGGATCCGAGTTGCAAAGTCAGTCGGCAATTGCTATTTCACCAATGTGCATATTCTCAGATTTCGACTAACACGTAACATAGACTACTTCACCAAGGTCCTCGAAGATGACCTGAAGGCTGTTGTCAAGCCCCAGTACGTTGATCAGCTCCCACGAGCTGTCAAGACACCCAACAAGAGTGTCAAGTTCCTTCTCGACCACCGGTCTGCGATGGGCAATATGGACGAGGTTCTTGACGTCTTGGAGCTACGCCATATTCTGGACCGTGACGTCAACCACCTTTCCGGTGGAGAGTTGCAACGATTTGCCATTGGAACGGTTTGCGTCCAGAAGGCCGACGTGTACATGTTTGACGAGCCGTCTTCTTATCTCGATGTCAAGCAGCGTCTATCCGCCGCGCGAATGATCCGTTCTCTGCTAGGTCCGGACAACTATGTCATCGTCGTCGAGCACGATTTGTCAGTTCTGGATTACCTTTCCGATTACATCTGTGTTCTTTACGGTAAACCCGCCGTATATGGTGTTGTCACTCTCCCCCATTCGGTCCGTGAAGGTATCAACATTTTCCTCGACGGTCACATTCCCACCGAGAACTTGCGATTCCGAGAGGAATCCCTAACATTCCGTATCTCGGAGGGTACCGATGATTTCCAGGCCGACAAGGCTCGTGCTTTCAGCTATCCTAAAATGGAAAAGACCCTTGGAAACTTCAAGCTCAGCATTGACGGCGGTGACTTTACTGATTCGGAGATTATCGTTATGATGGGTGAAAACGGTACTGGAAAGACTACATTCTGTAGGCTTCTAGCTGGCGCTCTCAAGCCCGATGACGCTCAGAAGGTCCCCGAAATGAGAATCAGCATGAAGCCCCAGACCATTACTCCCAAGTTCGAGGGTACCGTCCGACAGCTGTTCTTCAAGCGAATCAAGCAGGCCTTCCTCTCCCCGCAGTTCCAGACCGATGTTGTTAAGCCTCTCAAGCTAGACGATTTCATCGACCAAGAAGTAAAGAACCTATCTGGTGGTGAATTGCAACGTGTGGCCATTGTCATGGCACTCGGTCTACCAGCTGATATATACTTGATTGACGAACCGTCTGCCTATTTGGATTCCGAGCAGCGTATCATTGCAGCACGTGTGATCAAGCGTTTCATTATGCACGCTAAGAAGACAGCTTTCATCGTGGAGCACGACTTCATCATGGCTACTTACCTGGCCGATCGCGTTATCGTATTCGACGGAAAGCCGGGTATCGATGCTCACGCAAATATGCCCGAGTCGCTGCTTACCGGATGCAACACTTTCTTGAAGAACTTAGACGTTACTTTCCGTCGGGATCCCACAAACTACCGGCCCCGTATCAACAAGCTCAACAGTCAGCTGGATCAGGAACAGAAGTTGAGTGGAAACTACGTAAGTCAATCTACCCCCTTAATCTTGCGTGACTTAAACTAATATTATCCAGTTTTTCTTGGAGGAAGACAGCTCTTGAAACGGGCTTCCCACGCGATAAAGGCTACCACAATGGCCGCAAGAATCATCAAAATACCCCATCAGCATCGGATACAGGCGTTCTAGGCGTACAAAAAGGGGGGTCGACGCGCCGAGAGAACGGGGGTGCGCATGAATCGTCCGGCATGGATGCGGATGGTGGGGAGGAATGCGATGATCCGGACGATCAATAAATACGACGACAGTTTACCCCTTATTAGTCTGGTCCTGTAACCATTGGGCTCTGGAAGGGCCTCCTGCTGCTTGATGGGATTGGGGGGATATATTCGGACTACAACTTATCCTGCGACATAATCATTCAAGCGTTAATAAACCTATTGGCTGCAGATTGAGGGACAAAAAGGTTAAACTGGTGGCTATCGTCACATTTATCGATGGCACATATAATAAAATATGGATCATTGGGACATTGTGATTATCGTACTTTTATGGAGATAGAGGCAGAAATAGCTTATAGAGGCTGGGGCGACAATATACAGCTTGCTCATCAGAATAGTTTGTGGTGTAGAAGTTTATTCGGTAACTAAAGCGAAGAATATTTGTGTTATCAATTTTCTAGACCTGATGTTTACTCCGTACACACCCCTCTTAGAAGCTCTAGATGTGAGCGAAATGAGAATATGGTGTAATGGCTCGAGAAATTTATTAATCGTTTTCTATTCGACTTTCACAAGCAGAGCCAAGAAAGATATATAAGGCAGATAAGCAATGTAGATAATATCGGGATTATTACACTATCTACTAAATTTTGATTTTCTCTATTAGAGCAGAGGAGGGAAAGATACACACCGAGAACATATTCCAAAGCGCTTTTTTTTAAAGGAAAAAACTGACCTTAAACCGGGTCAGGCCTGATCCACCGTATTCTCTCCCCTGAGCGAAGTCCTGCAGAAGTGTAAGAAACCTCTGGTCCTGTAAAGAATAAAACGACAAAGTCGGCGTTATA